GCGCTCTTTCTTTTTCAGTTTTAATTAAATGTGTAACTGTTAGTACTCATTTACATATATATTTAATTTATATTCGACGATTATTTTAAGTAAGAAACAGTTTTTTTGTCGTGCGGCAATTCCTTATAGAGAGAAATTGTCTTAAAATTAATTTTTAAATCTGTATTTAAGAAATAGATTTTTTGAGAAAAAGGACCATTCTATAGATCCCAGTTACAAAAATTGTGTTTTTACAATATTTTATTTTTTTTACACGAACTTGAGAAGATTTAAGTGCAAGTTTTTCAACATGTTTTTTTATTATACAATAGCAGAATCACCGTTCGTAATCAACGGTTTAGCGATGTTGTAGCAGAAATTGTGAGCGACAAAACTTGTCTATTTGTTTATCAAACAGATGTAAAACGTAATAAAAGCATTCGATTAATCTAAGTAAATTTCCATGATTGCGCTGGATTATATCAGCTAATAAATTGCTAACATTTCTTATACTTGTACAGAATTTTAACATAAAAAATGCACCGTCTGCCTTAGAGTAGAATATAGTAGAATCCGGATGGATCTAACTCGAATTATTTAACTGACCTCCCTCCCTCCTTTCTGTCTCTGTATCTCTCTCCGTTTTCAAACTCGCTCGGAAAAAATTTAATTTAATTCCCGTCATGGAATCTCGATAGCGATGATCAGATAACTATATATAGGGATTTTTACTATATAGGGAATTGAATATGTCGAATAATCCGGGTTCTACGTACGATTCTAGATTCGAAGGCTGCATACATTTATTTTTGACGAATTTTAATACGCGTCAAATCTTTAGGGATGTCCTCGTAACTTTGGCATGTTCCATATTACTTTTTTAATACCTTTTTTTATCCATAAGTACATACAGTTGGCATTGAAAAGATTGATGCTTCGAATCATTTTTTCATTTGATGTCTAACAGGAGAATTGTATTTTACAAGAATATTATGGAGTATGAAATAAATAGAACATAAAAATGTTCATGTTGGGCCTTTTTTAATAACAAATTCTTAATTGCCATTTGCGTTTTGCAACATGTGTTAGTATATGCCAAGAACTCAAGTCAACTCCAATTAAGTGTATTTTAAGTTAAGATATACATATTGATGAGAGAAAAAGTAGATCTGAATATAATTCTTATATATATATATATAGATATAATTAAAATTATAATGATTTAGTTTTACAATAAAGAATTATACTATTATTATATATATATATATATATAAAGATAAATTAATGTTATATATTGTTACTCAAAAAATATTGATATTTTGTGTATTAAACTTTTATATAATATATATGAGAAATATTTTTTATTTATTATATTAAAATTATAATGGCTTGAGTTAAATCAATCTTTGTTGAAATATATAAATTAAAAGCACACCGTTTTCATTTTTTAAATAAATTTTGAAAGTCGTAAAAAGAAAATTTGATTTTGTCTTTTTAATGTCAACTGCACACTTACGAGTCCTAAATACTAAAATGAAACATATTTTATTATATATTGTTTCTCGAGTTTTCCTTATTATGTGTTTCTTTTCAAGTTCATTGTTTTTGTGAAAATGTTGAAATATAGAAGAAGTTAGCAATAAACAAATCGACGAATTGTACATCATTGAGCATTCTTCTAGATTTTCCATTTAATTTCCTATTCTCAAAAATGTTTGACTACACTATTATACATCACATTGTATTGTAAAATAATGGAAACTATATGCAATCGAAACTGCGTATATTTTATTTAGTTTCATTATCAAATGTTCATGTTATTTGATTCACGAGATATGAAAAGAAAAATACTGCATACTTAACTATTTTGTAAATTAGATATTTTTTTTAAACTTTATTTATTTTTATCACTTATAACGTTTTATATTATCATTTTTGCTTTACTTTTGCTACATATCTTTAATGTTGTTCCAATTTATGTGCCTGAGAGCTTAAAGGCCTAAATTTTCTTTCAATTCGATTAAAATTAATAAATGTTGATCGTCAGCAAACATTATATAAGATTTCTTATTTCGTAAGATTTTCTCGATTCCGTTTAGAAAAGAGTTTCCTAAACCTCTTTTTTAGTAACAAACAGATTATCATTTAGTTATTCAAAATAATTGTTAGTTTCTAAATAAATCTCTAAATCTTTCATTTCAAACGATTTTATTTCTTATACAGTTATATATAGATTTCGCGAATCAAAGGCTTAAATTTCTTGGTCTGCTGAGGATTGAATGCTCCTTTTTGCGATTGAGATTATTATAAATAAAATCTTTTTAATAAAATTATAAGGAAAGATCTGCAAGTCAAATAGATATAAGAGATTCAATGCCTGTTTTGAAATTATCTAATGTATTTTCTTTCTGTTTTCTGCATTATTTCAAAATTTATATACATATAATAAAAACTTTCATAAAATACAATGGCAAGGATGGTATAATAGCAAGAAAAATTGATATTAACAACTTTATTATTCACATATACATATGTAGTTACTAATGTATATGCCTATATGAGATATGAAACTTGACGCTATGTATATTGTATTATTTTATGTGTATCGATTCTTTATGTCAGTCCATGTTTAAAAGTACTGAGCTAATGTCATCAGGGAACGAATGCTTTACAAGATATTTCATCTTACATCCGTATCAGGATAAAATACAAGGTATTTAATATGATACGCATATGTTGATATATTTTTAATAGTTTTGCATGCAGAGTGATAATGAGCATTAGTTAAAAAAAACCTATTGTTAGATTGAACAAAATATCGATTAAAATTTTGAGAATATTTTCATCAAACATGAAAACCGTCATATCATTCGAAACAAAGTAACTTTTGTTTGAGACTTTCTATTAAATATATTGTTTTTGAAATATTCAAAGTGGCTATATAAAATTTATTTACATTTATGTAATAAGCATAATTGTTATTTACATATAATTATAATGCATTTAAAAAATGTAGCAATTATGTAGGTATGTTATGTTTTCTAATTTATAAATCTTATAAATCTTTTAAATAAATTGAATATACTGAAATAATACATTAAAATATAAAAATTTATTTAACTTATTCTTCTATAAGAAAAAAATAAATATATCGAATTTTTAAAGTATGACTTGCTATACATTAAATTAAGGATAAAAATTTAACAATTTATTGTTAATATTTCCGTTACATTTTTCTATAACATTATCGTATTGCTCAAATAGATGGTTTGATCGAAAAACAGAATTAACGTTATTCTATTTATTCTAATATTTTTTTGTCTTTCTACATAAGATTAGCAAAAAATTCTTTTCTTCCTTGTATAGAAAATCTATATTATTAATGTTTTATTGCGGAAAAACGTAATCTAGAATTAATATAACAATATCATTACATCTACGAAGAAGTTTTCTAAAATAATGATGCTTTTGTATTTGGTGTGAATGACTCAAGTGATAATCTAAATAATATTCGAGAAGTATATATTATGAATGGATACATATATACTTATGTGGATAGACACTGTTTTATTATACACGCGGTTGCATAATATTAGCGGAGCTTTTGAAGCGTAATGTAGCTCTCAGGTGCAAATATATTGTTATTTAATGACATGCATATATAATATGTATAAACTTTGATTTATAATAAATATTTCCACTTATACATTCTGTTTTCTTCATTGTCCAAACAAAAATCACAAAAATTTCGACATTTATATACATATAATAATAGAATTTTTAAATTAGAATAAAAGTAATAAATCAGTTCTAGTTTAAAATTTTTCAAATTTAATTTATTAAAATAGTAGTATGTTAAATTATATATATATTAACTGTATTTAAATAAAGTATGTATGCATAAATATTACAAATTTATTATATACTTCATATATTTACTAGATAGTTATAAATTAAGAAAATAGTGTTGACATAGTGATAAGAAAAAGTAAATTGCCACTTATTTTTTCGCAGTATTATCGCAGTAAATAGTTTATTCTATAAATTCATTTGCAATAATAACTATAAATAAACTATAATTCATTTGCAATAATAATAATATCAGGAGACGCGGTAGTGTCTCCAGCCATGTTCAAATATATCTATTATATATCATATAATTATAATTATGGGATAAACTAAAAACGTTATAAAATATTATAATTTATGAATCCTAAATTTTTATTACATACTTACATATTTCCAATAGTTACGGTACTGTTGTTACGTATTTCAATTTTATCAAACATCATCTTTTAGTAAAAATTCTTTAAATAATTTAGAAAACATTGATAATTTAGTAAATTTGTTTATTAGTATTTATCTTTGATAATTTAGTATAAATATATATAATTATACTAAATTATCAACATTTTTTAAATTATGTGTTTTTGTGTGTGTGTATATACACCCACATATATTATATATACCACGCACGATACTCGAGCGACATTTGATCTGCGCGCGAGGCGGCGAGGTGAGGGGGACAGCGGAAAGCGGAGGCGATTCGAAAATCGGCCAAAAGTTATATACACTTTATGTTAGTTCACTTTGAACTGGCACCTTTAATTAATAATATATTTACTTTTCGTGGTAATATATTGTTATTAGATAAAAAGGTTTAAATTTTTGAGTATCTTTTTTTGAACATGGCTTGACCTTTTTTGCATTTTTATCGATAATGTAAAACTTGAAAAATTTTGTGATAAATTTTGTTTAACATATATTATTTATTCTAAGTTTAAATATATGTATATTATTTATGTAGATAACGGTAGATAATATTTTAGAGAGCGATTATTTCGAAAAATAATATAGTACTAGGAGAACACTGTTAAAAAGTACGTTTTAAACGTATAAGTATATATTGCAGTCAATAGTGTCACAGTTGTGTTTATTTTGTTATATCGATGCGATTGACATAGTTTCAAGTTTTTAGGAAAAAAATTAATAATTGGAATACATATTTGTTAAATACAATTATGAAAATCAATTATGTGTTACTGCCTCTAAAAGCACACTATTTTTTTTTTCATGCAGGTAAGTGAATCTATATGGAACGAATTATATCACAAGAAGGAAGGAAGCACAAAGCAAAGCCTATCACGGTCAAAACTAGATCAAGATGCTTATTATCATTATGTGTGAATTTATATATCGCGTATGTAGTTCTCTCAATCGCGTGCCGAACATTTTTTCAGACTTACAACGCAACTCTAAACGACTACCGCGGTAATATCACTTTAGTTAGATTGACAATCAATCTAACAATTTTCGATGCTTGTAGCATCTTATTAGATCTTAATAATATGTTGAAAGACATATATTAAAATTTAATATTAAAGTAATGATAATTGAAATCTGTGAAAAATAAGATTGCAAAGAATATCACAAGTTGGCGTTTCGTCCCGGCTTCCACTACTGGACTCATCAGTAAGGTAATGTAGTGGGAGCCTACCTTATACGCCGGTGTAAGTTATTAAATCGGTTATTAAATGTTCGGCACGCGATTGAGAGAACTACATACGCGATATATAAATTCACACATAATGATAATAAGCATCTTGATCTAGTTTTGACCGTGATAGGCTTTGCTTTGTGCTTCCTTCCTTCTTGTTATTGTTTAACAATTGTACGGTCGTAAAAATGAGATTCTATTATTTGTTGAATTATATCACGTTTTCTAATAATTAAATAGTTTTAATAAATTTATGTCTTTTTTTTTTAAGTAATATATTTCAAATATTATTATAATGCATCTTATATTCGAAAAAATTTTGTAATACCTTTTGTAATACTGATTCTATGAAATATCATATGTGGACCATATTAAAGAAATATACATATAATGTAATAAATTAATAAATAAAAAACAATAAAAATTTAAAAATATTAAAAATTAGTTTTAACTCCATACTACTTCAACTCTATTAGTGTAATACAACCTTAATTATTTTTATTTCAGCTATGGCTGCCATTTTTCCATTTGTACCTGTTTACGGTAAACAACTTGGTATTTCTCCATTAATAATGGGTAGCATTACTGCCATTTTACCTATTGTGTATATGATTACTAAACCAACAATTGGTTATATCATGGATTATTTTCAAACACAAAAAAAATTAATCTTTATGTTTATACTGATGGTTTCATACGGTTCCTACATTTTGATATATTTTTTACCTCCATTACCGGGACCAATGATACCAGATCATCAGTTTCAAAATGTTTCTTGTGCGATTTTACCATTTTGCGATATTAATGTAAGTCTTTTTTTACAATTGCGTGTTTTTTTCAATGAAAATATCGTTATCTAATAATAATACGCCCTAATTACTGTGCTATATTGATGCTCTCATTGTCCTGTCATTTTGATTGTTTTATTACTTTAATATATGTTTTATAATACAATATATTTAAAAGTTTTCTTATTTGTTTTTATTTAAGAACTCAACAGCATTATGTAACATTTCAAAGAATACTACATGTCATTGGACATGCACTGATACAAAGTTTTCCATTCGACTATCTTTCTATGCAACTTCTCCTGAGAAGGAAGCAGTTATTTCTTCAAATACTACATGTTTATTAAATATTAACGAAATGGCATTATGTCAAGGAATAGAGACAGATAATTGTAAGGTTATCTGTGATAATTTTGAAAGTAATTACTGCTTGTACACATCTGTTACTTTCTGGGGATTTGTCATTTTAATGTCTTTTGGCACTATTGGTGTTGTTACTTCTTTTAATATAAACAACGCAATTTGTTTTGAAATATTAGGTAAACATTCATATAATTACTATATTATTTTCTTTAAGTGCATTTATTGAAATATGTATAAAAAGACTATCTGAATTAAATATCTATAATAATTATTTTAATACGTATTCTTTTATTTATTTTTATAAAAAATATATAAAGTTAATACTTTTGAAGTTTCCTTTTGGTCTTGTCGTTACGCTTATAGCTATGACATACAAAAATAATTAACTGTAAATTGTCAGCAATAAAATGCAATAAATTAATCACTCACAGATCAATAATAAGATCATAACGTCAGTAGTATAGCAAATTCTTTAATTGATTTCTTTACTATTTATGTTTTACTGCTAAAGTTTTTCTGTGTGCCATAGTTCTTACTTTGGTAGTGATTATCATATTTTGACTGTATATTTATCAAAGAATTAATAGTGTAGTTGTAACAATGTATGATTCATGTATTTAAGTATTTATGCATATAATTCTTGTTGACAATATAGATGTCAACATGGAATAAATTGTCGTTTTTTTATCTTTCAAATAGAGTTATCAAAAATTATTTGAAAATATAGTTTCTTTATGGTTAAATAAGATTTCAATTTATAGTATATAAATAACAAGGAAACGGTCAATATAATCCATTCTAGATTTGGTGTCCAATATAATATTTTTGTATGTAAACTCTAAATATACTTTTTAGTTATGCAAACTGCGTGCCGATTATAGTCAAACTATAAACGCAATCATAAATTACAGCTAAAATATATAATTAATATATAATATAAACATTTTTAATACATAATTTTTGTACATAAATGTCATGTTATATAAAAAAGAAATATATGTAAGCGTGTGCGTCTGCGTGGATTATGTTTCACAAAATTAATTAATTTATCTTCTCAGGTAAAGGTAAGCAAATGAAATATGGTAGGCAACGTATGTGGGGTGAAATCAGTTATGGTTTAGTAGGACTTTTAGTTGGATATTTTATAGATATATGGTCCCAAGGAAAAATCTATAAAATTTATACACCAGCATTTCTTCTTGCGTTTATATTTATTTGTATCGATTTATTATGTTGCAGAAAACTGAAGGTAATTTATAATAAATTAAAAAGAACTAGCAAAAAGGAAAAACATCTAACCATAATTTTTGAATTTTATTTTTTTTACAGCTGCCACATATATCGAGATCGTCAAATATATGTGCGAATATCTGTGCGCTTTTAAAATATAAATCCGTTATTATATTTTTATGTTTTGCTATTATTGTCGGAGCCATTGATGGTTACATAATCTTTTTCTTGTTGTGGTAAGTTTATATAATTTAAAAGATATTTCATTGTATTTATTTGTTATATGAAATCAATTATTAGAATATAGAAATTAAAACGTAAAATTTTAGCGGACTTAATTTTTATAATATTTAATTTTAATAATGTGTATAGTTAAGTTTTATATTTTACTAGGTATGAAGAAGATTTAGCTATGAAAACTGGTTATATGGACAAAATAAAATTAATAGAAGGTTTAACTGTATCCGCAGAAGCTTTCGGTTGTATAATATTTTTACCTTTATCTGGTATCATTGAATTATACTTTATTATAATATTTTACATAAATGAGGTGATCCAATAATTTGAAATATTGTCTTAATTTCTTTTCAGGTAAAATATTAAATAAATTTGGATATGGTTACACTTTTAATCTTTCTCTTGTATTTTACGTCTTACGGCTAGGATTAATATCTGTAGCGCCAACACCATGGTGGATTGTTCTAATTGAATTTTTACTACTGGGTTTATCATATACACTTTCCTACGTAACAATAATAGAGTTTGCGGATGTAATATCATCGTCCAATATATCTATTTCTGTTCAAGGCATTATGTCAGGATTTAAAGAGGGTTTTGGTAAACTTCTTCAAATATTTCACATTTACAATTAAATTATTACCAAAAAATGATTATAAACATATATATGTATATTTTTTCTTCTTAATTAAAATTTCTTATTAATGTAATGTATAAATTCTTTTTAGGTTTTGCTGTCGGTAATTTGGTGGGGAGTATGCTTCTAAAAAAATTTGGTGGTGCATTAACTCTACAAATATTTTCAATGTTTGCAGCATTCTGTGCAGTAGTATATTTTGTACTTTACATTAAGTACTTGAAGCATAAGTTACCAGGCAAGAACTCTAATGATTTAATTTAATTAATTCAATTAATTTTTTTCAAGATATTAAAAAATAATACATATTATTTTTAATATAGGAACACGAAATGATGTTGAGTGGAAAGAACTTAATGATGCACGGAAACAGTGTGTTGTAGCAAAATGATATCATGAGATGTCTTTCATTATACAATATATTTAATGAATGTTATTTTTTAACCAAAAGTATTAAATCAGCATTTGGAAATATTGATTTTGTATGAATTTTCTATTAATGTTTTCCATATATTTTATAAATGTCATTAAAATATTCCTTAATAATATTATATTTTGTGTGGGAGGACTCTGTTTGCCTACATTTATTTTTGCCTACATCCCGATTGCTTACATTAATTTTTACCGGCATGTATTATTGCCTATAGGTATGTATTTTTGCCTACAGCCCGATTGCCTACATTTATTTTGGTAATTATACAGAATAGATTCCGCACATAAGAAAATCTGAATCTTTATAAAAAAAATTTTTTCTTATAAATTTTTAACTTATAAAAGAAGATCTTTTCTAAATTTTTATATAAAAAAAAAATAAAAATAAAATATCTGCTGTGAACCTCAACTCAAGTTATAGACTATGATCGAATATTTTTCATTGCCGGTGTATACTTAATTTGTAGATAATGTACTTGTGAAACTGCCATTAACTTTGTTTAGCGTATTTTTTTTTACATAATGCTTGAACTCAAATGTATTTTGAAATATTTTAGATAACATTTACGATAAACGTTCTATGAAGCGGTTATAATTACGATTGATAATAGAACTAGAAGAATGCTTTTAAAAACTATATTCTATGTACGGTTTACCATCAACCGTTGCCGTAGTTGTGTTTATTCTGTCATATACATCAACATAGTTACATTATATAGCATCAGTGTATAGATACATTAATTCAAAAAATTTGCACGTAAATATATCAAAAAATATATTTGTAAGATAAATTAATGCTCTTAAAATTGCAAACAATTAATTAATTTAATTAATTACACTCATACTTGTTACTCTTTTTATATCTCTTCGCATACCACAAAGACATATCGTTGCTTTACTTCAAAAGTTCAAAAGTAACATAACTCAAAAAATCAAATTTTTCAGAAAAAGAGAAAAACTATTTTTGATTTATCAAAAAATTATTAAATATTTAAATAATTTCAAAAATATTATAATATACTTTTGTAACCATAATCAAATATCATCTCTTATCCGTTATATAATTCACAGATGGTAGAATAATTTTTATGGCTTAAGCTGTCAACGCTTATTATGTTGTTCTATTTTTCTTTTTCATTTAATAAACGATAAAAATAGATATAGTATATTATAATACCTATAATAATATAAAATAGCGCTAATTTTAGTGTGTTTCTCGAATCGTCTGCACGTGTCTAATATTATTTTGGAAAAAAGCGGAAAAAATTGGAATATATAATATTTATGACGTCAAATTTAAATCATGAAAATCAATTACACACTACTCCCTCTAAAAGCACATTTCTTTTTTTTTTATGGAGGTAAGTAAACAGAATATAAAATATGCTTTATATTACAAAATATATTTTATAAATAATATATATGTATATTATACTACATACATACATAGTAAAAATGGAGAAGACATCAGATTAAAGTGCTGGATTTAGGCTAACTGTATATAAAGGAAAATATTTATTTTTTAAATTGTTAAGTTAAACACATTTTTACGTTATGTCAATACCTTTTATTAATAATTTTAAAAATAAACAATAAATGACAGCCAAAATCTTTTAAACATTATTCAACGCGATGACTTTGACTAAACATATGCATGTCAAGATTATTGAAATCCAATAGATCATTATTATAATGTTATATATAGTTTTATAAAAAGTATTTAAATGTTTATTACAATGTATAAAATATTATAAACCTTTTATTATTGTATGGATCATATATAAACCATGTTTAATAACTAATAAGTATAAGATATTGTAATAAATCCAACCTATTAAAAATAAATTATTTTCAATTTCATAAATTATGTTATTGTGTGTGTGTGTGTGTGTGTGTGTGTGTGTGTATATATAAGTGAAATAATAATTCAATTGTTTTTATTTTAGTTACAGGCGCTATTTCTCCATTTCTACCTGTATACGGTAAACAACTCGGTATTTCACCATTAATTATGGGTAGTATCGGTGCTACTTTGCCTATTTTATTTATGATTGCTAAACCAATCTTTGGTTTTATCATGGATTACTTTCAAACCCAGAAAAAATTGATCTTTATGGCTTTACTCACCCTTTCAAGCAGTTGTTACATTTTAATATATTTTTTGCCCTCATTACCGGGACCAATTGCACTAAATCAGTTTCAAAACGTTTCATGTGCATATTTACCATTTTGCGGTATAAATTCTGTAAGTTTTCATTTTCTTATTATAATATAAAATTTTTCTTATTATAATATATATATTATTTGACCGTTACGACATGTTCTCATCGTTGTTTAGTTTAAAATTCTCACGGTTTAATAAGATTTGATATTGTATATATATATATATATATAT